GCCTGCCCTCCCCAGCCCGGCTGCACGGGGGCTCTGGCCCGCCCTGCCCGGTGCCAGCCCTGGGGAGGCAGCAGCAGCGCTCTTGGGAAGATCCTTTCGGGCACTTCCACTCCTCTTATTGCACGCTTTCCGCCCCCAGCTCTGCTCCTTCTGCTCCCACCAAAAGATCTGGACGTAGCAGGCGCTGACAGCTCACGAGCAAGAGCCTGTGGGAAGGAGCTACCCTGTTCTCCTCGCTCCCCGACAAAGATGAGGAGCCCTCTGCTAGGACTGACGTCCCTTCTGCTGCTGGGTAAGCCGCTGGCTCTTGGGGCAGGCGATCCATGAAAAGTTGAAGCCTCGGGTCCTCTTTCAGGGGTGTTGGTTGCAGCCGTGTCAGTCTAAGGGTGGGCGATTGGTGAAAGGTTGAAGCCCCCGCTCCTCTTTTAGGGATTTTCGTCTAAGGGTGGGCGATCAGTGAATGGTTGAACCCCCATCCCTTTTTTAGGGGTGCTGGTTGTAGCTGTGTTGGTTTAAGGGCAGGAGATCACTGAAAGGTTGAAGCCCCCACTCCTCTATTAGGGGTGTTGGTCTAAGGGTGGGAGATCAGTGCAAGGTTGAACCCCCATTCCTTTTTTAGGGGTCTTGGTTGTAGCTGTGTTTAGTTAAGGGCAGGAGATCGGTGAAAGGTTGAAGCCCCTGTTCCTCTTTTAGGGGTGTTGGTTGTAGCTGTGTTGGTCTAAGGACATAGGCAGACAAGGTGCTTTGGGTAAATGTGATATCTTTTGTTAGACCAACTAAATAGTTGGAAAAACTGTTCTTTGGCAAGCTTTCAAGTAATAGCACCCTTCTTCAGGCAGAGGATAGACTCTCCCTCTGCCTGAAGGAGGATATCTGTACCCGAAAGATTGCAAAGAACAATTTTTTCAACTATTTAGTTTGTTCCTGTTTCAGGCTTGTGGCGAGGACCAGTGGATGAGACTCCCTCCCTTGGCTGTGGGATGCTGGGCAGTGGATCGTGCTCCGTGCCTTTCCACCAGACATGTCTGCCGTCTCTGGAATTGGAGGGAGGGGAATAAATGAGCAAAGGCAGTTGCATTTTGATTCTTAAATGCTTTGAGTGGCATCTTGTCAGCATGCCCCTATGCCTGGGAGCCCTAGTCAGGCACCTGCACCCCTTGGTGCTAGGGGCAGTTCAGATGTGGGGCACAGCGCTGGGGCTGGAATGGTTTGTGCTGGAAGGGAATCCATTCAGAACTGGTAAATTAGGTTGGAGCAGGGGAAGGAATCCAGTGGAATGGTCATTTTTCTGTTAGGCCTACAGCCTGCCACTTCTGACTGTCTAACTTAACAAGCTAACTTTAGACGTACTTGAACCGAGTCAGTACTTGACTAAGAAGCCTCCTGGTATACTCGTACTGACTGGGTGCAAGTAGGGTATACCAGGAGGCTGCTTAGTTGAGTACTGACCGGGTTCAAGTACTGACTAGTAAGCCTCCTGGCACACCCTAACTGAAGCCGGTCAGTACTCAACTAGGAAGCCTCCTAGTACGCTCTAAGTGGTACTCATTTCTTACAGTACAGGCAGAACTGACCCCTGGTGTGCTAGGCTGTGCTGCTGGGTATGAAAGTTGCCCCTTGTCTCTGCTAATTGAAGATTTTGTTGCTTTTTACAGGAGTAGGGGTTCCTTCCTGTGTCTTTCATCTGGCATAACTGCCTTCCTTCATCCCCCTTCTAGGTCCAGTTACATACAGTATTCTTCACTGTGTGCCTTCAAGTGTTTTGTAGTACTGCTGGACACTTAAAACAGCTGGTGTGAACTGTCATATCCCATTCCACAAGTGCCTGTCTTATTGAAGAAATATGCATAGTTTTCTGACAAGCTTTGGGATCTCTGTCTGAAAGTTGTTATAGCAATGTAAAATCCCTGGTTTGATGAGTTTAGGGAGAACTGAATGCAAGGCAGTTGAAACACGCCACGCTTGGTAACAGCCCACGTGCATAGCTTAGTATTAATGAGATGCATACTGGATCTGTGAAGAAATACAGTACAGCATTTTTATATATATATTCTGCTGCATGTGCCGAGGGAGACCTTCTTTCAGTGTTCAAGCATCCAGCATGCTCATAAAAATGAGGGTTTTTTTGTGAACTTTGTTAAGTGAAGGAGCTGGCAGTATCTTTTGTGTCGAGTCATAAATAAGGACTGGTAAAACATGTACAGCACAGCTTGGAAACCACACTTCTGTTTGACTCAGGCAGTCATGCTTTCTAATTTTGTGCATGTGTGTGTTTTTTGGTTTTTTGGGTTTTTTTTAAACCATCTTTCCCTTGCCAGAAAGACTACATGAGCCTTTGAACTTGGTTTGGGTAGAGTTCAAACTTGTAAAAACAATAGCTTCCCCTTGGCTGGGGAAAAAAAAGCTAGACACAAAGTTGTCATCTATTGCTTTACTCTGTAATTTGCAAACCATTTATTGTAGTATTATAATTGATGTGGATTGCAGTTGTTTATTGGTTTAACTTTGTGCTTGGGCACTACATCTTCTTGGATTAAGAGTGCTATGATTCTGGATAACCTTTTCCTAATATGGAGTGCGCTGGGTGCCTGGATTTTTTTTTTCTTCCTGCATAGTCAATACAGAGATGATACTCCCCTGCATAGCAGTAGAGGGCATTGTACTGTTTGAGGTGCTATCTTTCATAGGCAATGTTAAATTAAGATCCTGATAATTCTTTTTATATAAAGCATTTAGGTGTCAGCCCAGTGCCCTAGCCAAATTTCAGCTTTGTAATTATTTCGTGCCCATGTGAACTCACTTCTTCAGGGGAAAACTGGATAGAACACTCTTTAATTTTCTGTCAATCTTGTGGGTAGAAGAGCTGCCAAAGTATCGAAATATTATTGTCTTTTTTTTTTTTTTTTTTTTTACCTCAGGGTGGTAAAAGAAGTGATGCATGTCAGAACTATGCACATATCTAGTTTGTAAAGCATGTTGGTATTCTGGGTGTAAGTAGCTGTATAAATGTAAGGTGTTTCTTTAACCAAAAAATGTACACTGCCCCGTTGGAGGGGGCAGTGGAAGGTTTCATGTTGGTGTTCATAGGGGTTTTTGGTGTTTTAGCCACCACATCAAGTTATAAACCCTGAAGCCTCTTGTTTTTTTGCAGAAAGCCCCAAGCTACTCTTCTTTCACCTGGAGTTTCTCCAGGCTAGGGAGGACAGGCTTCTGAATGAATCCTTGTTTAAACAACTTGTATGCACATGTGCCAGTGTTTATAATACAGAGCCTGGATACTATAGTGGTGGGTATATTTGGAAAGGAGCATAGTGCATGTTTGTCTACCATTTCAGAAACCCAGTAGAACTGCAAAAAGAATGATAGTTATAGACTAGAGGAAAAGCTGGTGAACAGTTTACATAATCTGAGAAAGCAAGTAAAACTAGCTAACAAAACTGGAGAAGTAGGGATTGAAAGACCACATCTGGCATGTGGGTGTAGCTCTGAGGTTTCTTTTGCTTTTTTATTTCTTTTACTGCAGTGTTTCAGTTTCAAGGTTTTAAAGAAGTGGCAATTTATCACAGTGAGTACAAAATGAGGGAATAGGGCAAGTATTGTAAATAATCCCCATGCAGCGATGAGACCATTAATACCTCTGCCAGGCAATGCTAATCGCACATAGAGTTGAAAGATTTACCTGCTTTTCCAAGGGATACAAAGATTGATACTACAGTACTTATATTGTACAGTGCAATATATTGGAAAAATAATACAGTAGACTTCTAGAGAAAGCAAAATTCATTTTTGTGGGTGACTGGATTATGAATTTCCCCCCTGCATTTGCATTTGATTTATCTACAGTATGAGGAATACCACCTGTGAATGAGCATGAGGAGTTGTAAATCACAAACATTTTATATATGTATGTGCATACTTATACCCATTACCCTCTTCTCTCTCTCCACTCATGCATAATAATTGGTGATTTACTTACAATTCTTAGTGGAGCTACTGAAACTTCCTATCACCACAAACAGCATGTTGTAATAAAATAATGATGCTGAGATTATTTAAATTGTGGTATGGGATGGCTGCTTCTCTGCCCCAGTGGCCTTTTCCTTGTGGTCTTTGCCAGGGTTCTGTTTCTGTCCTTCCTCTTGCTTGGTGTGTGTGCAGGGGAGTTAGTAATGAGAATTTGCTTTGCATAGCACTGATGTGCCCTGCCATTCCACTCTTCTGTTCATCTAGCATAATTGCTTGGCTTTCTTTGTGCCCAACTGAGGACAGGGCAAGAAGGGGAGAGAGGTAGTTGAGAGGAAATAGAGTTGTGCTGGAGGTGATAGCTGAATGGAAATTCAGTTTTGATGGGGGTGGACATTATTTGGCTGGTGGGGCAACCAGAGAGAACAGCAGAGGTTTATTCACTGTCTTCTCATTGAAGCAGGCCTCATTCATCTGCTTCTGGATATCTAGTTAGTAAGAGTGGCTAAGAACATGCTTTTGCTACCAATGTCCAACTCCAGAGCTGCAACCATTCTTAGATCTGAACCTCACTGTGGTTGCCTATGTTACCTCTAGACAGAGCTCCTGCGTGGCACACTTTACATGACTTCAGCCAAAAGACACATTCTGTTTAGAGGGTCACTGTTCAGTGAGGGTGAAAGGAAATAGATGTGATGGAGGTGATGGCTGAGTGGAAATTCAGTGATGATGGAGGTGCTCTCTAAGCAGTGCTGGCGAGCTATTTCTTTTTCAGTACAGTTCAAGTTATGACACACCAGGACCCGAGTCATAGGTATCTTGGAGACTGCCCCTTTCTCTTTATTAATCCACGACAGTTGGCATCAGAGTTCATGGTCCTTAGTTTGAAAGCATCCTTAGTGAAAGATTGAAACGGCTATTAGTTAAAAGTGCTAAAAGCACATGAGATATACAGATGCTGTGGAGCTGGGTTGAAGTAACATACTGCTGGTGCCAGTAAAGACCCGGTTTTGTTTGTTTGTTTTGTGTGTTAAACATTTGCAAGCAGCCTGAATGGTTAAAACTAGGAAACTACTCATAAAGGAGGTGTTGTAGGGCAAACTTACCTTGACCTGCTTCCCTGCGAACTTCCCTTGCCCTGCTTCCCTGCGTTGCACAATTTGTGTAAAATAGTTGTCCTGGAAAAAGATGAAGGCAGGATAACCAAAGTAGATGTATACGCACTTCAGACTAGCAGGGCTAACTCTGTCTCTTTCGAAAAAGACAACAGAAAGGTTATTCCATCTAGTAGTAAGCCAGGGAAGTGGAACTCGGCTTGACACAGTAATA